CTTCTTTCAGCTATATTGTTACTACCTGTACTAAGTTAATAAAGCATGACTTTACTTACCATATTTACAGAATTCCTAACTTCTCCAAGAAGCTGCCCTCCAAAAGTCATATTTAAGTGTGCTTTAAGTATACTTTTTAGAAGCTCAAATATTTTTTTCCATTGCAACAGTATTATATGTAGTTACACAGATAGGCACCATGAAGACGTTCATGATGCAGTATGAATTCATTATGAGGTATAACAGGAAGGCATAACCTCAATCAAACTTGATTTGTTAATCATGGAAATTCTGAACTTGTCTCTTGCTGCTCTTAAATGGGTTTGTGGACCATATCTTTTATAGGAGTTTCTCATCATTGTCAAGTATGTGGTATAATCCATATTATTTCTCCAGAATTATATTTGTTAAAGTTAAACATACAGAGGAGACATGAAGGTTTTGAGCTGTGAAACCAGTATTTGTAAGCACTTGTTAAGTGCCTTTCCAATTCCATTCAACAGACATTTATGGATTCTAATGTGTTAGGCACAACACCAAATCATTAATATCTTTCACTTACATCAGAGGTCCCCAGTTCCCCGGGTCAGGGACCAGTACCAGTTTCTGGCCTGTTAGGAACCAGGCTGCACAGCAGGAGGTGAGTGGTGGCTGGTGAGCTAGGGAGCTTCATCTATATTTACTGCCATTCCCCAGGGTTCACCTTACTGCCTGAGCTCTGCCTCCTGTCAGGTCAGCGGCACTAGATTCTCATAGAGAGCAAACCCTATTATGAACTGTACGTGCAAAGGATCTAAGTTGAGTGTTCCTTATGAGAACTTAATGTCTGATGACCTGTCACTGTCTCCCATCAACCCCAGATGGAACCGTCTAGTTGCAGGAAAACAAGTTCAGGGCTTCCACTGATTCTACATTATGGTGAATTGTATAATTATTTTATTATATATTACAATGGAATCACAACAGAAATAAAGTGTGCAATAAATGTAATGCCCTTGAATCATCCCCAAACTATCGCTCTTCACCCACTGCCAGTTCATGGAAAAAACTATGTTCCATAAAACCGATCCTTGGTACCAAAAAGGCTGGGCACCACTGACTTATATCTGTTGATCCTCACTTTACCTCAAGAGATGGGTGTTCTTATTTCGATTTTAAAAATAATAAAGCTGAGGTTCAAAAAGTTCAAACAAGTGTCAGAATAGAATTTGAACCTAGATCTGCCTGATTCCTAGACTACGCCATGCTTACCATTCTACGCTGCCTCTACTCAAGCAGTCCTTATCAACTGGTTTCCCAAAAGAGCAATGACTGTAACTATTGAAACACCTTTGAAATACCTTTGAAACTCCATTTCAAACTGTTATAAAGAAAACCAACAAAATGGTTTTGTTTGTTTTTTATATAGGTATATGGCTATTATTGATCCCCTGAAACCCAGACTGTCTGCCACAGCAACCAAGATTGTCATTGGAAGTATTTGGATTCTAGCATTTCTACTTGCCTTCCCTCAATGTCTTTATTCCAAAACCAAAGTCATGCCCGGCCGTACTCTCTGCTTTGTGCAATGGCCAGAAGGTCCCAAACAACATTTCACGTAAGTTAATTCTCTATTATGATTTTCAATTCAGTTTATCAAACACTTAGGAAACTACAGATTAGGAGCAACAATTAAACAAATAAGACAGACATTTCCCCCAGGGTTCATACATTATTTGGAAAAGGAAATATATAAAAATACTGTAATATAGTATTATTTGTATGTGGACAATAAGTTTGTGTAAGTTACTAAGGTTTTTCATTGGAAATATGAGAATGTCTGTGTGGGATGGTACTGGAGAGTTTCCTGATGGAAGTGATAAAAGATAAAAGCAATGTGCAAAGAGGAGCATTGTGTTATTGATTGAGAAATGAGTGAGAAGAAAGAAATCAAAGCCCAAATGTGTTGATTGCTCTTTTAGGGAGCTTAGCTGAACAGAAGGAGCACTCTAGTAAGTTATCTAATTTTATTTTGGTTTGATTTGGTTTATGTTCTTTTGCTTACAAGCAAAAAGCATTAAAAACCCTCAACACTAGATTGAAAAGGAAATATTAATATTATAATATATGGTAAAATTTGGTTCATATTTTATACCCACCTCAAATCAAGCAAAAAGGAATAATAATGTAATTGTGTAATTGTTTGCATTTTATTTTTAAATTATAGTCATTTAAATTTTATTTCAATAAAATGCTTATTTTTCTATTTTACTCATCAATTTGTCCCTTTGAAAATAGCAAATAGTGCAAATAATGGTTATCTTTTAAAGCAGTCATTTTATCTACCTTTGCTCTACCCAAAGTTCAGATTTTTGAACAAAAATATTAGGAAGCACTTATTTAAGGAAAATCAGGCAGCGCATATTCAACTGAGTACTATGTGCTACTCATTATTATCAATACATCTTAATTGTATGATAATGTTATCATCTTCAAATTATTTGTTGACTGAATTACTTCCTCATTGACTTTAAATCAATACTTAGTAATCTACTGAGAAACGGAAAGGCAAGGATATTTAAGATTCACTTTACAAAGAAAAACCACTGGTATGGAGAAGACTATTATAACAAACTTCTAAATTACTTTAAAGCTTTCCAAGACAGTGAAATCCACACAAAAGATTGTAAAATTCTATTTGGGCTATTGTACTATGGTTTACTCTCCTTTTCCTCTCTAATTGAATTCTTATAATTTTGATTGAAAGCTACTAAATACCAGAATTTAATTTGATAATTTACAGCAGCATACTTCTGGTTTGACTACTATGTCAACATGTTTTGTTTTGTTTTGTTTTGTTTTTACCAAGTTAATAAAGCAATCAAATGGACAGTGGCTCTGGAAAATTGCATGTAAATGTCTTTACCTGATTTTTAAAAATTGTAGTAACTTGTGGATTCATTATGGCTCAGACTATCTACTTACTTTTTTCCTCCCATTTGAATGAAAAACAATTTACGTATGTCTGATGTTGCAGCAATATAGAAGATAGTCCTATATCGGAGAAAATATATGCCAGTTGATTTGTTTATTCTATCCCTTCCCTTTTCCTCCAATGACACATTTAATTAGTTTAGCTAAACAATTACCAAGCAGAATACAAAGCAGTGGAAAGTCGTTCATCCTCAACCTCTAGGCAAGGAGAACATGTGTTTAACTGAGCCCTTCAACCCAGCTATAGTTTTCATATACCAAGTAAAGATTGACAAACGTCAACTGGCAGCATTTGAAACATAAATATAAGTGACAATAGCATGATATTTTGATGGAATTTTGAGATGAATGTATAGAAATAATGTAGAAATAACTCTTGGTGGTTTTAATTATGATTTAAAACTAAGCAAACGCAGTCCCCACTATTTCATTCCAATATGGTTTCAGCATGTGTGTTTCTTATTTTTTGTAGTTACCACATTATCGTCATTATACTGGTGTACTGTTTCCCATTGCTCATCATGGGCATCACATACACCATTGTTGGAATTACTCTCTGGGGAGGAGAAATCCCAGGAGATACCTGTGACAAGTATCATGAGCAGCTAAAGGCCAAAAGAAAGGTACTAGTCCATGTTGTTTACCTAGCATTTGTATAGGTTATGGTACATCAGAAAGAAAAACAATCTAGTCATGGCATGTTAATACAATATGATCTGATGCTCTACTTCTATTTTTAATGTCTTTGTTTTAATTTTTTTCTTTTCTTTTTTCCTTTTGGTTTTGTATAAGTCACTGTCTACATACTACATCAGTTTGCTATATAATAGTTACTTCATTACAGAAATACTTCTTTAAAAGTATCTTTTGTAAAGTATTCTTACTCTGCTGAAATTGCTAAAATTTTACCAAATTTCACTATTCCAGTTGATTATATTTTTGCAACTCTGTCTTTCTTTGTCATTTATTGAAAAGAATGCCTCTGATGTATTCTATAATCTACTCAAAGCTTCTTTTATTCCAGGAATGACATCTCTTCTAGAAAGTCCAATAATTTTCTAATAGATATCTAACTTTCCTCCATCCCCTCTTGTCTCTCTTTATTTCTCTCGCTTTCTCTGTGTGTTCTTTCTCCTGATAAGACATTTTATATATATGCATGATTAAAGGATAAGGATTGTATTAATACTATTCTACAATTTATTGAGTGACATGAAAAAGGCTGTTTCTAATTTACATGAAACAAAAACATCTCTAAAAATATTATGTCTATATTTTACTATGATTATTTTTGTTAAGATTTTTTCTACTACCATTATGCGACTAAATAAGTTAGATTTTTCATAAATATGTGGAGTTAAAAGGAAATACATTCCATCCTTTTCTCCACAGTTGGTATGTACCTAATGCGTCTTGGAAAGGTTTTATCAAAGATAAATGAGTCCTATTGATTATGCCAATGATTATTATTTGTTCCATTTATGACTAATTTATTTACATAGTACTACTAGCAACACATGAACATTTCCTTTAAAAAACACTTAACAGTCTTAAAAACACTTAGCTACAAAAACTCACTTAACAATGATCAATCAGGTTTTAAAAATGAAATTTACAAAATGGATTGCATTTTAATAGTGTGTTTTCTCTGATATTGACAAATAATACTAGACCATATTTATGTTTGGTTAACATTTATAATGATTTCTAGTATTTGAAAACAAAAAGTAAGAATGAGCTTTTCCAGATCAATTTACTCATTTCAGGTTGTACAAAAATGTATCTACTATGTATGTCATTCAATTTTATTTTTCTTTCAAAAAGCTTTTCTTAAAAATAATGTGCATGAACAACCAAATGGCCTCTGGCACCTACAAATGAATCCTAAAGTGAGGAGAGTTTCAAAAACATGGCCCTCTTACATGAACAGTATCTCTTTCCCCTTTGTAATTTCAACCTGCCTTATATAACACCTCGCTCATGTTGAAAGATACTCTATTCTTGGGATAATTTCTTTTTTTTTTTTCTCTTCTTACAAACAGAGGTTTTATTGTGTTTGGTCCACAATCGTATTTCACATTATCTCATGGAGCAGGGTCCCCGGGTGGAGGTCCCTGTGCAGTACTTGGCGGGGCGTGTGGCCGGGGGAAGATGGAGCAGTATAGCTTGTTGAGACCAGAAAGGAGGAGGGTTGGGGGCTCCTTAAAACCTACTGAGGGGCCGGGCATGGTGACTCACACCTATAATCTCAGCACTTGGGGAGGCCGAGGCGGGTGGATCACATCTGAGGCCAGGAGTTCGAGACCAGCCTGGCCAACATAGAGAAACCCCATCTCTACTAAAAATACAAAAATTAGCCGGGCGTGGTGGAGCACCTGCAGTCCCAGCTACTCGGGAGGCTGAGGCTGGAGAATCGCTTGAGCCCGGGAGGTGGAGGTGCAGTGAGCCGAGATTGCGCTACTGCACTCTAGCCTGGGTGACAGCCACAACTAAAACAAAACCTACTGAGGCCAGAGTGGGTTGGGGGGCGGGTAGCATGGAGAGGGGATCAGGCTTAGCCCAACAACTCAGAATTTCACTTCCTCGTACAGCCTTCACTTTCCCCACTTGGCCCTGGGGCAGGTCTGAGGGTCTGAGGTCTGTTGGTCCTGGAGAAATCCAGTCACTCGGGAGCTGGAGATATTTAGCATCATGGCCTGGCCCCCTTTCCCAGGTGACTGATTTCCCAGCACCTTCTCCACTGTCCCTGCCCCATTCCTCAGGAATAAAAAGCAAAATGTATTTTTCTTTTGTGAATACTTCCTGAAACTTGCAGAGAAACCACAAACTGCTCAGCTGACAAAAGGGGGAAGAGGCGAGGCAACCAGAAACCTTTGGGAACCAGTTAGTCTCTTCTCCCCAGCACAGCCTGAACGTGCCAGCAGGGACCCTCGCCCTACACGCCCTACACGTATCGGGATATGGCCTTGAGCTCCCTCCCCGACAGCCCGGTGGCTCAGCCCTGCGAAGGCCCAAGGCAAAGGGGAAAAAAGCTCTGCTGCCTGATCCCACACTGCCACTCACAGACCCTCGGTTGATTGGCAGCACTGAATCGGCTAAGAAAAAAAAACAAAGATGAAAACACAGAAAAACCCAAAAACCCAGACGGGGAGATGATGTGGGAAGAGAGCGTGCTGGGAGCCTTAGTAGCCGGCCTCCTCCTGGTAGTAAGGGGGATATTCAGGGACCTCCCCTGGGTCCGGGCAGTCGCCGGCGCCTGAGGGAGCCCCAATCGGCCACTGTGCCTTGTGGGCAATACTTGGGGTCATATATCTGTCGGCCCAGGCCGAAGACCTGGCCGCTCTGGTTGGCGCCCTGCGTGTAGCCCATCTGCAGGGACATGGAGGAGTTGTCACACTTGTCGGTTCCCAGCTTGGTGTCATAGATGTGCCGCCGCGTCCCGAGAGCCGTCATGCCCACCTGGCTCGCACACTTGTTTGTGCCCACCTGGAGGCTAATGGTCGAGTGGTCCATGGTGGGCAGGATATGGTTCTTGGGGTCATAGAGGTGCCTCCTCATGCCGTACGCGGTCATGCCCGACTGGCTGGCGCATTTGTTGGTGCCCATCTGCAGCCCGATGACACACTGGCCGGCCTTCATGGTGGCGTCATCGAAATTCCGCTCCTGCTTCTCCGAGTACTTGACGCCGATGTCCACCCCGCTCTGCAGCCCCTTAGTCTTGGCCTTCCCCGCCAGGGCCAGAAGAGACACCTGCACCTGTGTCATGTTCCCACTCTCAAACAGGTCGTTGGCCTCGAACAGGTCCACGGGGTTCATGCCGTAGCTGACCATGACCTTGATGAAGTTGGACAGGTTTTCTAGCTGGTGCCAGTTCTGCATGGAGCGGTTGATCTTGGGGACGGAGCCCGGCTGTAGCTTGTTCATGAGTGTGCATAAGATAGTTCCGTCCTTCAGGCCTTTCTGGAAGTCGGGGCCGATGGAGAGGCCGGTGAGTCCCTCGATCCAGGTGCGGAGCTCTGCCTCCTTCTGGGGGTCATATTTGGACAGGAGCCGGTTCTTGACCTCGGCCGACAGCCCGTACGAGGGGCCCTTGTTGAACTGCGTGGAGCTCATGGCTGGCTGGCGGGCGGCGGGACGGGGCCGGACGGGACGGGACCTTGGGATAATTTCTTAGCGCTATATCTTAGGTATCATCACAGTAAATAACTGGTGTTATGTTCTGTGTATTTCAGAATAATTTCTCTATAGTACCTGCTTAGTTTCTGTCTTTTATTTCTTTCATATTAGTTCAGATTTTTTTTAAACATTTCACTATGCACTCCTAAACAAATTAAAATAAACCCAGTAATTGTAGATTATAGTTTCTCTTCATATGCATGTAATGTTTTTCTAGAAAGAGATAAAAATTTAATCTGAGTGTTTCTTTTATTTTTGAATTCAGTGTCCCAGAGGGAACACAAAGGAAGAGGGATTTTTTTTTAATTTTGTCTCTATATAAATGGTGAGAGTAAGGCAAAACATTTCCTTTTGATTTCATTACTCCACAATTTCAAAGTAGAAATACTAATTCAGACTGGGAGTGTAACCCTTCTAGAATACTTCAAAAAAGTAAGACATTTTAAAATTCCAGTATGTATGTCTTCCTCTTGGTTTGTATTCTAGGCTAAAATAATACGAAATGGCCCTTTATGTCATGGACTTCTCAAATAAATCTCTTTGTCCTTGGATTTCTTTTTACAGTCAGTTATTGGTATGACCGTTGATATCTAGGCACTAATACGCATATTGCTGAAAATAATAAAATTTTAAAATATAGCTGGCTCTTAATTTTTTTCTTTTTATCTAAAATCAAAATATTGGTCTGGAATTGTTTACAATACAGCTATTACTAGTAATCATGTTATTTTGGATTTTTTCATATGATTACTTAAAACACAGAAGTTTTACCCTGGATGGGCCGTTTATTCATATGTTGTCTCCTAGAGAATACACCTTTGATATTGCAGATTGGACATGAGACATTTAAAAAAAGGCTCATGGCTACATGAGTGCAAACTAACCATGACTATTGGGAAAAACCATTCTATACACTACTCTGAGCCAGACTCTTAATTATAAAAGACTACACGGGGTGGAGCAGGATGGTCAAATAGAAGCCTCCACTGATCATCACTCCAGAAGGACACCAATGTAACAACTATCTACACACAAAAAATAATCATTTCATAAGAACCAAAAATCACGAGAGCTCTCACAGTATCTGATTTTAACGTCATATAGCTGAAAGAGACACTGAACAGTGTAGTAAAGACAGTCTTGAATTGCCAGTGACACCCCCATCCCATCCCCGGCAGCAGCCATGTGGCATGGAGAGAGGATCTGTGCCCTTGGGGGAGAGAGCACACAACAATTGTTAGACATTGCTTGGAATTCAGTGCTACCCTGTCACAGGAGAAAGCAAAATTGACCTGAATCTAGCTGATGCCTGTGCATAGAGGGAATATTTAATCCAGCCCTAGCCAGACGGGAGTCACCCATCCCATGGGTCAGAAGTTGAGTTCCTCTACGCCTCACCACAGTGGGCTAAAGTCCCCTGGGGCTCTAAATAAACTTTAAATGCAGTATAGGCCACAAAGACTGCAACTCCTACTTGAGTCATAGTGCTGTGCCGGACTCACAACAAGTGAACTTGAGTGGTGCACAACCTACTGAGACATCAGTGGGGCTGACTAAGGGAGTGCACGTACCACCTCCCCACAATCCCAGGCAGCAGGACTCATGGGTTCAAAAGGGACTGGCTCCTTCCACTTGGGAAAGGAGAGGAAAGAGTAAAGAAGACTTTGTTTTGCATCTTGGATACTAGCTCAGCCACAATAAGATAGGGCACCAGTCAGAGTTATGAGGCTCCCTTTCCAGATTCTAGGTCCAGCATGACATTTCTAGACACAACCTGGACTAGAAGGGAACTCACTGCCTTCAAGGGAAGGACTCAGTGACAGCAAGACCCATCGCTGGCTGACTAAAAAGCCTTTGAGAGCTTGAATAACCAGTGGCAATACCCAGGTAGTACACCATGGGCCTTGGGTGAGCCTGAGACTTGCTAGCTTCAAGTGAGACTCAGCACATTCCTAGCTGTGGTGGCTACAGGGAAAAACACCCTCTGCTTGAGAAAAGCTAAGGGAAAAGTAAAGGGGACTTTGTCTTCCATGTTAAGTAACAGCTCAGCCACAAGGAGGTAGAGCACAAAGTGGGCTCTTAGGGTCTCCGATTACAGACCTTGACACTTGGACAACATTTTTGGACCTACCTGGTCCAGATGGCAGCCCACTGCCCTGAAGGGTGAATCCCAGGCCAGGCAGCATTCACCACAAGCTGACTTAAAACACCTGGGCCTTAAGTGAACATAGGTGGTCTGGCAGTACTCCTTTGGGCCTGTGGCAGTGGTGGCCACAGGAAGGGTCCTCTGCCTTTGAAATGAAGAGGGAAGAAGGGAAACAACTGATTCTTGTGGTTTGAGTGTCAGTTCATCCACAGTACGATAGAACACAAAATAAACTTCTCAGATTTTTTACTCTAGTCCCTGACTCCCAGACAGCACCTCTGGACCCACCTAGGAGGAACTCTGGACCCACCAGAACACCTCTGGAGCTTACCACCCTGAAGGGAAGGACATAAGCCTGGCTGGCTTCGACACCTGCTCATTGTAATAGGCCAGCCTGTAAGCATAGATGGTAGCCAGGTGGTGATTAAAACAGGCTTTGGGTGAACCCCAGTGCTGTGTTTGCTTAATGTGTGACCCAGTGCAGTTCCAGTGGTGGTGACCACAGGCTGCTTGTGTCACCTCAACCAGCTCCAGGTGGCTCAGAACCGGAAAGGGGACTATATTTGAAAGAAAGTGAAGGAAGAGAACAAGAGTCTCCGTCTAGAAATCCAGAGAATTCCTCTGGATCTTATCCAAGATCAACAAGGCAGTATCTCTGTGAGTCTGCAAGAACCCCAGCCCTACTAGGTATGTGGTACACCCTAATGCAGATATGACCTAGATCACAACACCCAAGTCCTTTTGAATATCTAGAAATCCTTCCCAAGAAAGATGGGTCCAAATGGGGCTAGACTGCAAAGACTACAATAAATTACAAACTCTTCAATGCCCAGACACAGACAAACATCCGTGACCATCAAGACCATCCAGGAAAACATGACCTCATGCAATGGACTAAACAAGGCACCAACGACCAATTCTGGAGAAACAAAGATATATGACCTTTCAGACAGAGAATTCTAAACTACAGTTTTAAGGAAACTCAAAGAAATTCAAGAGGGCACAAAGAAGGAATTCAGAATTCTATCAAATAAATTTAACAAAGAGATTGAAATAATTAAAAAGAATCAAGAAAAGTTGCTGGAGTTGAAAAATAGAATTTATATACTAAGGAATGCATTAGTCTTTTAATAGCAGAATTGATCAAAGAGAAGAAAGAATTAGTGAGCTTGAAGGCAGGCTATTTGAAAATGTACAGTAAGAGAAAACAAAAGAAAAACAAGGCCAGGCACAGTGGCTCAAGCCTGTAATCCCAGAACTTTGGTAGGCCAAGGTGGGCAGATCATGAGGTCAGGAGATCGAGACCATCCTGGCTAACATGGTGAAACCCCATCTCTACTAAAAATACAAAAAATTAGCTGGGAGTGGTGGTGGGAGCCTGTAGTCCCAGCTACTCAGGAGGCTGAGGCAGGAGAATGGCATGAACCCAGGAGGCAGAGCTAGCAGTAAGCCAAGATGGCCCCACTGCACTCTAGCCTGAGTGACAGAGCAAGACTCTGTCTCAAAAGAAAAAAAAGAAAGAAAGAAAGAAAGAAAAACAAATAAAAAACAATGAAGCATACCTACAGCATCTAGAAAATAGCCTCAAAGGGGCTATGTAATTTATACAAAAATCAAATCTAAACTATGCAACTACTACACAAAAACACTGGGTAAATGATCCAGGACATTGAACTAGGCAAAGAGTTCTTGAGTAATACCCCACAAGCACAGGCAACCAAAACCAAAATAGACAAAAGGAGATCACATCAAGTTAAAAAGCTTCTGTGCAGTAAAGGAAGCAATCAGCAAAGTGAAGAGATAACCCACAGAATGGGAGAAAATATTTGCAATCTCTCCATCTGACAAGGAGTTAATAACCAGAATATATCAGTAACTCAAACAATTCTGTAGGAAAAAAATTCTAATATTCCAATTAAAAATGGGCAAAGGATCTGAATAGACATTTCTCAAAAGAAGACATACAAATGGCAAACAAGCATAGAAAAGATGCTCAACATCATTGATCATCAAAGAAATGCAATTCCAAACTACAATGAGATATCATTTTACCCCAACTAAAATGGCTTTATTCAAAAGTCAGGCAATCACAAATCCTGGCAAGGATGTGGAGAAAAGGGAACTCTCATACAGTTGATGAGAATGTAAATTAACACAAACACTATGGATAACAGTTTGGAGGTTTCTCAAATAAAAATAAAAATAGCACTATCATATGATCCAGCAATCCCACTCCTAGGTACATAACCAAAAGGAAGGAAATCAGCATGTCAAAGAGACATATCTATTCCCATGTTTATTGCAACATTATTCACAATAGCCAAGACTTGGAAGCAACCTAAATGTCCATCAACAGACGAATGGATAAAGAAAATGTGGTACATATACACAATGGAGTACTTTTCAGCCATAAAAGAATGAGATTCTTTCACTTGCAACAACGTGGATGGAACTGGAGGTCATTATGTTAAGTGAAATAAACCAGGCACAGAAAGATGAAGCTTGTATGGTCTCACCTATGTGTGGGAGCTAGAAATGAAAATAATTGAGCTCATGGAGATAGAGAGTAGAAGGAAGGTTCCAGAGGTTGGAAGTGTAGTGGGAAAGTGGGAGTGAAGTGAGGAGTGTTATTGGGTACAAAAATATAGTTCAAAGAATGAATAAGTTCCCATATTATATAGCACAACGGAATGACTACAGTCATCAATAATTTAATCGTATATTTAAAATTACTAAAAGAGTATCATTAGATTGTAATACAAAGAATAAATGCTTGAAGTGATGGATACTCCATCCTGATATGATTATGATACATTGCATGCCTGTATCAAAAT